CCCCCCCCCCCCCCCCCCCCCCGTTTACCCAGGCTTCCAGTTTTGCGTCCCAGGTTCATTGTAATATTGACTACTACTCTCTTCCTTTCAGGTTCAATCTGCTTCGGAAGAAATTCCCTGCCACATCATTTACTGGCTCTCCAGTTCTATCTGACTCTGGGTTCGATCTGTTGAACAAACTTCTAGCATATGATCCTGAAAAGGTAACTATCAATCATTTCAAGTGAGTCTTATCCTATTATATTTACATTGCTGATTTGAATTTCATTATTTTTGTACAGAGAATATCAGCTGAAGAAGCTCTTGATCATGAGTGGTTCCGTGAAGTGCCTCTCCCAAAGTCTAAGGAGTTCATGCCTACGTTCCCTGCTCAGCATGCTCAAGACAGGTAGATTAATAATGCTTTGAGGTGTTCATGCCTGCTTATATTTACATTGTGTGTGCAACTAGCCAAAATTGAAAAAAACCAGTTGAACCAAGTCATTTTGGACGTTTGAGCAATATATTATTGTATGGTTTGATAAGATATGAAATATATAACATTAGCTGGTTGGTTTGGTTTTGATATATTTTGGTGGTTTGTATCAGTTAGATGTTTCAAAAAGTCAATTTTTACTTACAGTTCAGTGTTGGCCAGAAACCAGACCAAACTGACCTGCTTGTATCCCTTTATTTTGTTAGTGATGTTCTCTTTCTATCTTATGTTTAGGAGAATGCGAAGAATTTTAAGGAGTCCAGATCCCCTTGAAGAGCAACGTATAAAGGAATTGCGGCAGCAGGAGTTGGGAACTACTGGTCTCTTTGGTGAGAGATGAATTGTTAAGTGATGGCTAAGGCCCAGCTGTCCATTTATTATATAGAATTGCTATTTATGAAATTGGTGGGGGGAGAGGAGTTGAATTGAATAAGAGGAAGATAGCACTGCTTTTCACAAGATGATTGGTGCTGGTTGCCCTGGGGCTCGTCCTGGTAGTTGGTGAATATATGTATATTGTACTTTCAGTAAGGATTGATGACTTTCATCTGGAAATGAATGCATGTGTAGCACTTGCATACTAGATTTAGCATATTTCCTTTTCAGGAAAAGAAGCTTTTGCTGTAAAATGTTCTAGTAGAAAATGGAAAATTATTGAATTTGAATTGGGCTTCAATGTTGAGTTATGATTTGCAGTTTTATTGCTTTATGTTTTCCATGTATACCTTTAGGCTACGAGAAACAACTGGGTGTAGTAAAGGGAGGATGCTTGTCTTTCATCAATATAACTGATATTTGACCATGACACTGTATAATTGGAAGGTATCATTTTCAGTTGTGGTGTATGTGGAAACCTTATATATTTCATAAGTCGTCATAAACTTGAGGCATTACTCAGAGTCATTTACAGCGTCTTGTTTAATGCTACCCCCTGGGTGCTCACCTTGTCCAAATAAAAGCTTTCCCCCCAACTTTGAATTTTTGTAATCCCCGGGAAACTGCCTCTCTTGTTCCTTTTCTTCTGGATACATATATATAATTCTCCATTGCATTCTGTTTTCCTGAAAATTTTCTGGGATTTCGGGGTCAAGAGGAGGTCATCTAGCATATCCACTATCCACTATCCATACAGCCACAATTTCCTCTACATAAATTTTGAAAGTCCTCATATGCTTGCCTTCATTTTTTGACCGTTAGTACAAAGGTGAAAACTAATTATCTGGAGAGACATAGGCTTTTGTCGAGAGACAGAGAAGGGATGGAGACTATCGAGATTGCGAGAGAGAGAGAAGTAGTGGAGAAGTTTTGGTGCCATTTTTTTTAATCATCCCCACCCTTAAAAAGGCTCCAATTTTCTTAAGCCTGGTGTACTACAAAAACATTTATGAAGGCAATCGTGCACATCTCCCTTATCCTTAAGCATGAAATAGAACCTCCTCCACCATCGAACAACAATTCTCTTATAGTATGATATTTTGTAGTCTCTACTTTTCTATAATCTTTATGTAAATGGTTGTGTATTCCTGGTGGAGTTGTATCTGTGTTTGCTAATGCTTTGAATCATGTTTAATATGGTATACTGGCTAACTTCTATTTGATCTCCCAGTGGTGTTTGTCAAGGCAGTTGCTTTCAATAAGAAAGAAAGTTCAATTAAAATAGGGAGATATGTATACGACCAGTAGGATACTTGTCTACAATTATGGTGTCTAGACATTAATGGGAAAGAGCTTACTCAAAATCATGTGAGCTGATATGTGTAGTATTCTTTTGCAGGAACCTGCAAAATGCTTGCCGAGATTGGAGCAATAGCTGTTTGTTAAGATAAGTACCTTGAGCTTTACTATAAATAAAACTATGCATTGAGTATTGTTGGTAATGAGGTGTATTCTTTATCCTTGTTATTGACTCTGGTAGACAGTTCTGTGGTAAAACTGGCTCTTTTTCCAACCAGTATATGTGTGGGGGAATTTTTTGATACCTGTTCTTTTCGTATTATCTTTATTTCTGTTGTGCTTCCCTTCATGAATTTTTTGTCTTGTAAGTAAAGTCTTACCCGCCAGGGATGAACCTTGCATTCCCCACAAGGAGTTGATGTGAGCAATTGGTTTTAACAATTTGCTTAGTCCCTTTGATTCTGTGGGAAAAAGATCTTAAGCCTTTTCTTCCGAGTTCAAGTATTACGAACCATAGATCTTTGAGATGGTAATTGGTGCCTGATGTATTGAACTTCTTTTTCTTTCTTCCAATCCTGATCTTGAAGTCTCACTGCAATAACAAAGCAAGCAAGTTGAGTCTAGAGGATATAAACTGTGAACTCTAGATTTCTTAAAATAATTGCTTATCCATCATGTAAAATGCAGGTAATGTAAATTTCTGTGCCTTTTCTAGAATTTTTTTGACATAATCTTTCTGGTTCTGGCGCATTTTAAAATAGTCATTTAGATCTGTCTATTTCTGTTTTGCATCCGTTTGAAGAGAATGCCAACGTTTTAAAATGAAACAAATGCAGATTTTCAATTGTCGATCATGTTACCTTGGGCAATTCTGTATTTCAGTCCTTTGATGGGTTGGAAGAAGAAAGGCAAGATTTGGAAGGAACTTCAACTGTTCTTACATTATTTTGGTAAGCAAGGATTAATTTGGCTGTGATTAAGGTTTTCTGTTAGTATTTTGATATGTCTACTCAAGTAGAAGGAAATAGATGTGTATAAACTAATTATCACACATTATTTTAACCTGAAGGAGGTAAGCTTAGTTCAAGTTTCGTTCATTCTCCTTAAGCGCAATGAGAGTAACCCTGCTCATTCATGTTCATTGTGCTTGTTTAAGAACAACTTTGGCTAGTCTTATTTCTGAAGTGCACCTAGTGGATGGGATTATCATACCATAACTTTGCATTCACATAGTGGACAATGGACTGTCTAATTACTTACTGACATTTCAAGCACTACTCAAATAGTAGCCTTATATATGCATTACTAATTACATCGTTTTTCTTCTGGAGGGAGATGAATTGTGAATTTTAAGATTATGTGCACAGTTGTCTGGATCTTCTTGCTGAATTTAGCTATTCACTTCATTTACAGATGTAGTTTATTAAGTGTTTTCTTTGCTTCTGCGTGTCTTATTGCTATGTTCTTCAAGTAGGGGGTTCTCACCTCATTGGAGTCCCGCATTTGTTGGATAATGGCTTTGGATGTTTCCCTTGGTAAACATATTGTTTGCATAAAGTAAGTACCCTCAAATATGGTGTTCTTTTCAGGAGGTTTGTGGGCTCATCGTTTTTCCAGCAAAGCAGTTAAAGGTCCTGAGAATTGAAATGGTAAAAACAATAGATGTTGGAAGATTTTGCAGGGCCCATGGCGTTTCCAAGAGGCTGTATCACATCCCAAATAGCAAAAGCCTCTGCATGAACGATGTTTGAATTTTCTCCCAGTCCTCATAGCATCCAATCCTAGAAGGAACCAAAATCATGAATCTTTATAACGGCCCAAAGCCCATCTGTCCTCTTTGGGCTTTTCCTTTCGGACTTCTTCTCAGTTTTTAAAACACGTTTGCTAGGGAGAGGTTTTCACACCTTTATAAAGAATGCTTCGTTCTCCTCTCCAACCGATGTGGGATCTTATAATCCACCCCTCTTCGAGGTCTAGCATCCTCGCTGGTGCTCGTTCCCTTTTCCAATCGATGTGGGACCTCTCAATCCACCCCTTGGTCCGGCGTCTTTGTTGGCACACTGCCTTATGTCCATCTCACCCTTAGGGGCTCAACTTCCTTGCTAGCACATCCCCCAATGTCTGGCTCTGATACCATTTGTAACGACCCAAGTCTACTGCTAGCAGATATTATCCTCTTTGGACTTTTCCTTTTCGGCTTCTCCTCGAGGCTTTTAAAACATTTTTGCTAGGAAGAGGTTTACAGACGCTTATAAAGAATGCTTCTTTCTCCTCCCCAACCGATGTGTGATCTCACACATTCCCTCTCAAATATTTTTGCTGGGTCATACCTAACTCATTGGCTTTGGACTTTGAACATTTCTGGCGCTTTGGCCTACATATCTCTGTCTGGGTGTCTGGGTCTTCCCAAGGGCAGCAATGTTATTTCTGTTATGGGGTTCCTGTTGGCAGTACCCGGAAAAAGAACCTCTCAAAAATAGGTGGGAACAGTTTTTTTTTTTCTTTTTTCGGTTGCTTCTTGGTTTGAAGGCCTAGCTGCTATCATCTCCTTGGTTACAGCTATAGCTCTTACACTAATTTGCAGTGGGGTGGCTCTCAAGTTAGCGTTAGAACATAGTGAAGGGAATTTTATTCAGATGCCCCTATATCATTATTATTTGCATCCATGGGCTTCTAAAAATTCAAATTTAGGCAAGCATGAAGTTGAAGATTGGTTGAGTCGCCAGTTACCTGTTAACATCAGTAGCTTTCCATATGATGTTCTGACTTCTTCTTCCTTGCATATTCATTGACAGGGAAGCATGTTGTTATGCCTGTCTCACACCTGATCCATCCCTCAATCATCATTTCACAGGTCAAAAATCATGTCATTGGTGCTCCCAACTGATCAATCATCATCGAGTCATTCCAGTGATGATGGGGATAGCGTTCTTCGTCACCCGGCACTCTGCAAAACCCGCTGGCTGCTGCTTTAGTTGACTAGCCAAGTTCGGACTTCTGATTGTTTGTTCCGACCCACGTTTTGTATGGTGCAAAGCTGTGATCTTAGAGGTCTTCTCCACTTCGATTGACTTTTTTTCAAAAAAAAAAAACTTTTTTGGACACCAGTTTATAGTATCAAAATGTTATATAATTTTACGTGGGTTTTAAATTTTGTGATGACTAGGCTTCGAGATCTACGCTTTTATCTTTGATTTTTCTCTTAATACTCTCACTTTTTCGTCCTTGGTAATATTATATGATGATTTTCAGTTTTCGAATAAGAGATTTGAATTCTTAGTCGATGATTTTTAAATTAAGCTTATAAACATGATTTTTGGCGGAAAGCTTCTTTGTTTTTTTATTCACCTTCAAGATTTGATAATCAAAGAAAAATGAGTTTTCAAAATTTTGTTTTTAAAGTTTGACTAAGAATAGTATTTATTTTTTTATATGGTTATCAAACGGGATTAAGTCCAAGAAGAGCAGCTGCCCGCAGAGGGAATGTGAAAATATATGCCCAAAAACAAAATTGCTAAAAGACAATTAATTGTTTTACAAGTAAGCAAGGCATTTAGTAGGATATTTGAAGGGCTTTACAAACAAACATAACCGATTGGGCAGCTAACACACATTTCTGATACTTCACGTGAAGACTAAAGTCTTCCCAAGCACAAAGGTGACCAGCGTGAGTTCAATAAAGAATATAGTGTTCAGCAGAGCTCTGTTAACTGTCCACCCAAAAATGGTGATTCCCCCTGGATTCATCTGCAAATACATCACTGCACCATGGAGACCAAGTTAAAAACAGCATGAACAGCATGAAACACATAGTATTGAGGTTCCTATAGAGTTTTAAAGAACCCATTGTGCAAAATATTGATTGAGTTGATGACTATATCTGAGTTTCTTACCAAATGCTTCTCTTTTATGATAGGAGGACATATAAGAAGCTAGCTGTGTGGTTGTAGGCATTGTAACAATATCCAAAGATTCCAAATCACTTTCAGAGTAAGCGCAAGCCATTGAGTTCAGTCTTTTAGGAGATTCCGAGTTCCCGTCCCCGTTCGGATGTCGAGTTTGAGATACATCACCTGGACCACAAGTCACTAAAGCATGCCATCTACTTGCTACTGATGCGATTCCTTGGGCTCTGTGGGAAATCTTCGTTGCTCCATGCAAGCAAAGAATCACTCCAACCACTTGAACAATTGCAGATACCTGAAAGTTGAGAAGAAAAAGTAAGGAAAGTCAGGCTTTAAAGATCGAGATTCATCTCTACCAGGCTTTAACGGTCGAGATTCGTCTCAACGTATTGCTGACAAACCAACATCAAGCCTTGGACATACAACCTTGAGCTCGTAAAACGATCTACATGTATCTAAGAAAAGATAGTTGTAAGAAATTGATGAACTTACTGCAAAATCACCACTATTTATGAGGGTAACCATTGCACTATATCTTGTCGTCTGGAATAGAGTCATAAACTGGCTTGCAGTCACAACCAGGAAGTCTAGAAGAAGAAAGATTCTGAATCTGTGGCTTATCTTGGACAAATGATAGCGTAGGAAAATATGCTCCTCAATGAGCAACAAAACTTCAGACTCTGTCTGCAGGAGCTTTGCATAGTTATCAAAGTGGATGACTTGTAAATTACACATCAGATGAAACACAATGGCGGCGGATAGAGAGATCAAGCTCAGATAAGTCCAGGATATGGTCATAGCCAGTAAGATAGCAACCGATAGCCCCCACGTTACACGCTCCACATATAGTATTCGAATTACCTCTCTAGCAGCCTTCAAAATGAAACATGGCAGTGCCCAGAAGACAAGCAAACGTATTGAACCCTGTGGAGATGGATGGTCAAACCAAATTCTTTCTAATACCACTGTTCAGATTTACATGACAAATAGATCCAAAAAAGTGAAAATGAGCACTTGTGAACTTTAAATTACTACGTCAAAAGGTACTACTTTTGATCAACACCTTATGTTCATGAACTTATTTGAACGGAATGAGTGACATTTCATATCCGTAGGCATTCAATCATAGATGAGATAATACAACTTATATCATCAGATAATGTAAAACGCGTCTGTTTGGGCTTTCCTTTTCGAGCTTCCTCCAAGATTTTTAAAACGCATCTGTTAGAGAAAGGTTTCCACACCCTTATAAAGGGTGTTTCGTTCTCCTCCTTGACGTGGGATCTAAAGGATTACCATGGAGCTAAGAGACTAATGTTTCTATTTATCAAAAGAAGATTAAGTTTCACTAGAAGCTCACCCGTATCTTCTTGACATAGTCTTTGCGAAACCCAGCCAAAGAGCTGATCTGCCTATCAACACTGAGGAACCTCTTTATGCCATATTTTCTGAGGTTGTGAGAAAGACAGAGAAGAGACACAGCTGCGAGACAAGCTTGGGAGGCAACTATGTCAAGCTCAAAATCCTTAATCTGGTACTGCTTGCAGGCGGCGCAATCTGTGAGCTGCAGCATAACAACAGGCAGAACAATACCGACAAGAACAAAACCAGACCAAGACAAAACACAGCTCAAAACAGAGGACTGGTGGAAGCCCAAAAAGCCAAGCAATGTGTCGAACAGTTTGAGGGCACTGTCCAAATGGGCTTCTTCGCCGTCTTCTTCTCGCCCTGTGGTTTGTGAACTCTGATTCTGATTAGAATCAAGAAGTGGAAGATGGGCTTCAGGATCGTCAATATCCACATGATCACGCTGCTTAGCCATTGAAGTTGAAGATCAACACAAACTTGAAACTTCTCCTCCTTGGGTATGGGGTTTTGGTAATTGGGGATTTCCATCCAAGATGGAAGGAAGTCAATATCTTATACAAAACATCGAACTCAGTTCCCTTAAATTAAAATGTCTCGAACAAACCCATTCCAGACAAGTATAAAGAACTCAAAATTCGTACACAGTGGGCGGCAATAACTACGAATATCTGGGGTCTCGAGTTTTAGCCGTTGGCTGGAATCAAACTGTTCTTCCCATGAAGATTTTAATAATCAGGACCGTTCAAATTCGAAGGAACAGAAATTAAATACAAATGAGCGCAGCAGGAGATTTACCTTGGCTAGATTTTCGCATTTTAGCAGAGGAAAAGGTGCGATCCATGTCGTAAGCTTGTGATCTCTCCCTCTCTTTTTTCTTCTTTTTCGTTTGCTTCACATCCCGGCAAAAGACATTTTAATTACATTTCATAATAACTTTCCCCAAAAAAAAAAAGAAAATTCCCCGAATTTTTATTTATGTATAGCTTGATCTTCAAATTTTAAATAATTAAATTATAATTTTAACCGTGTCATTTACGAAAATAATTATCAAAGACTAATAAAATATTTTTAGTTCAAATATTTGAAATTTTATAAAATTATATTTCACTTATTATTTATGAAAAGTTGGCTTAAAATTCCATAAAAAAAATCTAATGAAACCAATATTCATAATTCACTTTTTAAAGTTGTTGATTACTGTAACCTAATTAAAATTACTCAAATATTAACTTTGGTCTTATATTTTAAATTAAAGTTAATAATGCACAATTATTTCATAGATTAGCATGTTCAACATTTGATTTTATGATCGATAGGATGCTTTCTTATGAAAAGGACAAGACATAATAACTTACCAAAAAAAAACAAAAAAAAAAAAAACAATAATCAGCTTCCCACAACTTGTGATTATTTAATGTTGTTAATTAAAATATGTGATCGCATGCTTGTAAAATAAAAAATAAAAAATATGACAAAAGTCTAAATTTAAACCTTTTATATTCATAACTATTTTTATTTAATTTCATTTAAAATTAAATTAAAATTATTATCCTCCCAAAAGAATATCAAACTATTAAAACAAAATTATTGAGAAAATAATGGAAAAAAGAAGATGAAGAGCGGTCTATATCACTAAAAAAATATAATTACTGTCACGTCTCAACTCAAATTATCCTAACGAATCTAAGATGAGCTCTCTTAACTACAGATCTTCAAGTGACCCAAGTTTCTTGGAGCTCTGTTAGCTATAAGATAAGGAATCATTGCACATGAAGTAAGCTAGCACAAGTATAGTCAATTTACTCATGTTTCCTAATCTCCACAATCTTCGAGAAATAACTCACCAGCATGTATCAATCCTACTGTTTGATCACGAAGCATCACTTTTTCCCTTTCCGTGCAAGAAATCGTTCTCGAGCAGCCTGAATTTTGTTATCATGACCATCAAGAGTTGGTGTGGTGCCACCATCCTCTTTCTTCAGGGAGTCTTTAACGTTTCCCTCCATTGGCTCACTCGTAAGATCAGCACTGCCACCACTGTCAAGGGAAGAAAACTGCTAAGCTGGTCCATGAGCAAACTTCAATGCTTGACAAAAGATGGTATCGGGTGAACTTGGCTTACCTTAACTTATTTACATTTAGATTCTTAACCTTGTTTAAAATGGGCATAACCCATTCAACCTGTACGGCACAGACATTGCGCATAAAGGGTCGTGATGTTGTAATCAGCTCATGGTATACAACATAGTCAGCAAATTTCCCATCTTCATCTGGCTTCATAACAGACGAGGGATGCACCTACAACGGAGACTTTTAGTTTAGATTAATTCAAACAATGAAGCTGGAAATGGTCGATACTGTATTACAAAAGTACACGCCAACGTCGTACCTGAACGACTTGGGGCTTAAAACTAAGGGTTCGATAGCCATTGTGATGAATCATTCTCTCTGCAAGTTGATTGGCATAACCAACACATAAAGCCTTCCTCAAATTCCAGTACTCTGCCCGACTCTCCTTTTGGTTTCTGGATGTCCATACGTCTAATGATCCTGTGTTTTACTAGAATAATTAGGAAACTAGAG